GAAGGAACTGCGGCGGCGAGGAGGGGGAGGACTGCCGATGGATGGGTGCCTCACCGGCGCGGCCAAGGGCGCCTTATGTAGCGGCTGGGGCCGGCCGCGTGCGACACGCGTGGCGGAAGGCGGGGCGGCGTCGCCGCACTTCACCGCCCGTGAATCAATGGCATGATGGCATTGATTCCCCGCGGAAAACCGAGACGATGAGGACGACCAAACTTCGTCTCGCTGACGCACCGGTCCCGCCACTCTTTCGCGTCAAAATGTTCGAGCCGGCGCCCCAGGCGCCGGGTTCGGGTTAGGTGCGCCGGCGTCAATTTCGGCCTAATCCGGCGAAAAACAGGCTCGCGGGGACGCGACTGGGTCGATTTTTCGACGCTGGCGCTAAAATACAACCTTGGAAAGCCTATTGGGAGCGCGGCTGAAGATGCTCTTACATTTCTATGGAGAGTGAAGTCTATTTTTAGAAAGACGCAAAGGTTACGTATCGTTTGATACTTTCTCTGATCCATAATAATCCATAATAAGTGTCGCATCGTTTGATACTCCCTCTGATCTATAGAGGGAGTATCATTTTATTGCTAGGTAGAGAGCATGAAGTCTACGTAGAAGTAGATCCTCATCGGCCAACGTATAAAGAACTGAAGAGGAAATGAGTTGGAACAGAGTAATAGACACCCCACATAGAGAATGCTGCTCCTCTGGCTCTGCTCAAATACAACAAACACTACACTTTCGAGCCATGCGCAAACACGACACTCATACTGCGCGCACCGCTCACACACAAACCATCAACTACGGTACACCAAACTGAAGAACCCAGCATTCGACGCAACACTACGAGGTACGAGACTCAAACCCAACACCCACATATCCAAGCTTGTTTTATTGGGACTCTCACCACCAGAGGCACTATTCTGAGCAGAAGCAGCTACGCCCGACGGCCCAAGGCTCTATCTAGCCGGTGATCTGGACGGGCTTGACCTCGGGCTTCTTGGCCTCCGCCTTGGGCACGGTGACGGTGAGCACGCCGTTCTCCATGGCCGCCTTGATCTCCTCGGCCTTCACGTTGTCCGGGAGCCTGAACCTGCGCAGGAACTTGCCGCTGCTGCGCTCCACGCGGTGCCAGGTGTCGGTCTTCTCCTCCTGCTCCTTGTTCCGCTCGCCGCTGATCTGCAGCACGTTGCCGTCGTCCACCTCCACCTTCACCTCCTCCTTCCTCAGCCCCGGCACGTCCGCCTTGAACACGTGCGCCTCGGGAGTCTCCTTCCAGTCGATGCGCGTGCCGGCGAACGACGCGGTGTCGGAGCTGGTGGTGCGCGGGAAGATGCTGCCGCTGCCGGAGCCGAAGGGGAAGCCGTCGAAGGGGTCCCAGAGGTCGAGGGAGAAGGGGTCGAACACGTCGCCACGGCGGATCAGCGACATCGTCGGCGGGCTGGCGATAAGCTGCTGAAGAATCTTTTCGTTAGCACAGTAGTGCGCGAGAGCGAATGGTTTGCGCGATCAAAGAAGCTTTCGATGGTTTTCCTCTGTCGGTCTTGGGACGGTGCGAATGCAGGTGGCGAGAATTTAGGCTGCGTTCGGTTTGCATGTATAGAAAATACAGGACCAAAAAACTGCAAAGGAATATGATTGATTGTACAGTAGCAGACCATAGGGTTATAAAGCGAAGGAAGAGAAGCCTGCGGGGTGTTCGAAGCATAGTTGTAAAAAATACTTTGTTACTGGCCAAGACTGTGTAGGCCATGGCAGATCCTATGCTATTTTTTATCCGCATGTACTCTCTCAGATTGTCTTTTTCCTCATGCATGGCTGGTACAGTTCAATTGTTTATTTGAGTGGTGTTGCCTTCTCTCGGGCATCCGCCCAGAAATGAGGTTCAACTGGATTTTTGCAATCCTGTGGAATGAGCCCTCCAAGACAGTATTTCCTCCAAACTTCTGTAGCACTTTCCTACGAGGCGAACGGTTCAGAGGTAAACAAAACTACGGGTTTTCGAACATGCAGATTTCCTTTGTTTTTCCTGCAAACCGAACGAGGCCTTATAGGGGTCGGACGTGCAATGGAGAGATGAGGTTCTTGAGAGTTCTTGCTTCTTCGAGCGCGTACAGGTAGAAGCCAGAATGGTGTAGCTGGGCATTCCGCTATTCGCTGGACCCTGCTACAAAGGTCTCCCAGAAACTAGATAGTTCTGGGCGCGTCTGTAGATCGCCGCATTGCTATTTGACGCTCTCCGCGGCAGATTGTCACAGCACAGAGCACAACGAGCGACCAGGTATATCGGCCGGCCAACTTGTTTCCCTTTTCCTTTTCAAGTTTATATTTATTTTCATAAAAATGTTCCTAAATTTCAAAAAAAAAAGTTTATGTTTTCAAAATTTCTGCACAAATTCAGGAAAAGTGTTGCATTACAAAAGCTATCCTCATTTTAAAGATTATTGGGAATTTAAAAAATGTTTCCTTTTTTGAAATATTTTCATAAATTTCTTCATGGTTTCAAAATTTGTTCCGCTTTTTTAAAATTTGTTGAAAAAATTTAAAATATGTTCACAGCTTCAAAGCCGGGAGGCCGCCGCCTCCGAGACCGCGGGGGATGCCGAGAGGGGCGCTGGGGACGACAGAGGTGTCGTGGGCACCAGGGACGCCGAGGGCATCGCGGGCGCCGGGGACGCCGAGGGCGGGGCAGGCGTCGGGGGAGGGGGGGTGTCGGTGTCAAAACCGGCGGATCTCGGGTAGGGGGTCCCGAACTGTGCGTCTAAGGCGGATGGTAACAGGAGGCAGGGGACACGATGTTTTATCCAGGTTCGGACCCTCTTGATGAAGGTAAAACCCTACATCCTGCTTGATTTATTCTTGATGATATGAGTATTACAAGAGTTGATCTACCACGAGATCGGAGAGGCTAAACCCTAGAAGCTAGCCTATGATATGATTGTATGTTGTCCTACGGACTAAAACCCTCCGGTTTATATAGACACCGGAGGGGGCTAGGGTTACACAAGGTCGGTTACAAAGGAGAAGATATACATATCCGTATTGCCTAGCTTGCCTTCCACGCCAAGTAGAGTCCCATCCGGACATGAGACAAAGTCTTCAATCTTCTATCTTCATAGTCCAACAGTCCGGTCAAAGGATATAGTCCGGCTGTCCGGAGATCCCATAATCCAGGACTCCCTCAGTAGCCCCTGAACCAGACTTCAATGACGATGAGTCCGGCGCGCAGTACTGTTTTCGGCATTGCAAGGCGGGTTCCTCCTCCGGATACACCACAGAAGAGTTTGAATAAAAGGATAGTGTCTGACCCTGCAAAATAAGTTCCACATACCACTGTAGGGAGAATAATATTTCCACAAATCTAATCTGCTGACACGTTTTGGAAACATGACATTATGCCATGGCCCGATGATTATTCGAACTGTTTTCTTTAACTAGCCCCGCACATAACGCGAGACAGTTTCTTGACATGTCTTGTCAAAGCAGAGATCGTGTCCCCCTTATTACGGGATTCTCATCAATATGGGTGTGGGTAACCCAACTGCGCCTAGGACTCCTAGATTTTAGGCAAGTCCCAAACGGCCACGAGGAGGATGCTTGATATTCACCCTCTTTATAAAAGGGCCAAGACTTTTACTTTTTTCCTCCCGTGCTTAATCGAATCCTTCCCCGCCTCGAGTTCTAACACCCAAAACCCAGGTCAGGTGCTTCGGACCTTCAATCATGTCCGGATCCAGCCTCCAGGGCCGGTGGATGCCCTCATCCGTCACGGAAGAGGATATCAAGAAGTTGAGGGAGGCAAGATACCTGACCGCCGAAGTCTCGCATCGGCTGCCTGCCCGAGGGCAGGTCGTCCCTACTCCTGAACCCAATGAAGACGTCGTGTTTATCTCCCACTTCCTCCGAGGACTAGGCCTCACTCTGGATCCCTTCGTAAGGGGTTTGATGTTCTATTACGGGCTTGATTTCCACGATCTAGCCCCAGATTCCTTTCTCCACATCTCGGCATTTATTGTCATATGTGAGGCCTTCCTCCGCATTACCCCTCACTTCGGCCTGTGGCTCAAGACCTTTGATGTGAAGCCGAAGACGGTTGAGGGGCAGCATGCAGCGTGCGGAGGGGCATTAATAAGCAAGATCGCTGGAGCTCCGTGGCCAAAGGGTTCCTTTCCAGATATGTCCGGATTATGGCAACGGGAGTGGTTCTACGTCACCGCTCCCAGAAGTGCCAAGTGGGTAGCTTCCCCCGCCTTTCGCTCGGGCCCTCCACCACAACTGATGTCATGGATTAGCAGGGGGCTGAGCTGGGGTCCAGCCAAGGATGTGCCCATACTGCAGAGCCGCATCCGAGATCTCTTCGAGGGATATTTTAGCTTGGTGATGGCAGTGCAAGTCATGCTGGTTCGTCGAGTCCAGCCTTGCAAACGCCTCCCCCTCCGCTTGTGGGAATTCAACCCAGAAGGACCGCGTGCTATTCAGAATTTTCTCGGCCTGACGCATGAGGAGATGTACAAGTCGTTCTTCGGACCCCAAATAGAGTGTCTGGACACCTTCGAGGACGTGAGCCTGAGCAGCAACCGCACCACGGCCCAAGTAAGTAATCCTCTAGCCAAATACACTGTCTTTCATTTATCATGACGTCATTATGAAGAATCGCTTTTTGACCAGGACTAGATAACAAAGACGAAGATGATCCGGTGTTCGGCCCCTCTTCCCGAAGGCTTGGACAATCCGATGCTGGAAAAGATGCTCGAGCCAGCACCTTGCCCGATGCCCTCAAAGGAAGATGAAGGGGGGGATAAAGAGGGCGAAAGCGGGCCCCCACAGCTACCTATCCCAACCGAGGGAACGAGTGCCTCCGTGAGGGAGGATAACCAAGGGAAGGAATCTGACATTCCCTCGCCTCGGGGGAGGAAGAGGACTACCTCTGATGATCCGAAAACCAAGGTTTCCAAATGGGAGAAGAAAACTCCACCAGAGGGTCCCGCCTCGGAGGGTGCTCTTGCCGCACAAAGTCCGTGCGGGGATCAGCCCTCTAACGAGCTGTAAGTAATCAAAAAGTACTTAATAGTGAAGATATACTACCTTACTTCTAAGGAACATAACCGAAGCATCTATCTTGCAGTTCGGATCTGAGCCCTTCTCAGCAGAGCTCGTCTTCGGGGGATCTTCTTCCGGAGATGATGGAGAGCGAAACGCCTCCCCCGGACTCCCTGGCTTAAGAAGCGGGCGACCTTGAAGTGTCATCACGGAGAGTTTCTCTGGATCCGGCAAGGCTAGAAAGTAATCCCATGGTCACCTGAAGCCCTCAGTATCCGGCTCTTGAAGAGAGCAATCAAAAGAGTCTGGCACCATCTGGTATGCGATCGGACGTACTGAAGGGTCTGCTAGAGCGAGCGACTATCTCAGAAGAGCATCATATATTAATGTGTACGATGATTGAAAGGATTTCGTCCGCCGAAAATGGGTTGCATGAAGCCTTTATGAGTCTACTGACGGGTTTTAAGGTACGTGAAATGATATACATTTGTGATGGTACCGCACATTTTAGGTGTGCCCTGTGTAGATAGTAGCCCCTGAGACTCTGGTTGTCATCGAGAACGGCGGCGAACGGAGGATCATAGTCCCAGGTAATAACCAGACCGCCTTTATGTGCAGGTGTCTGAAGCTCCGGTGGCTAGCCGGACTGATGGGGTTGCCGAACTAAAATGGCGACTGGATGCGGCGGATGCCGACATCGAGCTTGTTAACAAGCGTCTTGACGAGGCACAGGGTAGGTGATATTTATAGTGAATGTCACATAGTAAGAGCAGCGTGATGCCAGTATCTTTAATATGTTGTGACTGCAGATGGAGCTGCCACCGTGGAGGCCCTGCGGGCGGAGCTTGCCCGAGCCAAGGAGCAAGCAAGAAGTAGTAATGCAGCCGCTTTGAAGGCGGTCAAAGAGTTGAGAGCCGAGAAGGCCGCGCATAGCGAGAGCAAAGAGAAAATTGTCAAATTGGCTGTGAAGTTAAAAGACAATGTCAACCGCTGCCAGTTTCTTGAAGTAGAAAACTGGGCGAAGGCTATGGACCTCGAAAAGTCCACAATGGTGACCAAAGACAACCGCTCTGCAATGAGAGCAAAGAAGGAGGAATTGCGTGAAGCCGGGGACATTATGGCTGGGAAGCCCTTTATGCTGCGGAGGAAGTTCGGCGATCCGC